CCCCCCCCGCGTTAGTCTCTGTCCGCGCTCACCACGGCAAACGTCCGTCCCCACACCGGGCGGGACCCGAAGCCGCAGAGCCGGCTGTGGGTTAAATTTACGGCCCTAAACTCTCCTAAGGCAGAGCCCCCAAAAGAGCAGCGCTGGGTTAAGTGGCCTTTTGGGAATCAAACATGTTAGAAATCTCTCCAAGAGGCCCGGCGGATGAGTTGAACTCATTTCCAGTTTTTGATGTCGCAAACGGCCGTTCTTTCACAGGTTTTCTACTGTATCTACCCCCAAATTTAGATTCTGTAGCTTGGCTTGAAATCTGGTCAAATTTGAGAGAATGTAGCCCTTTTGGGCTACACAGGAAGCAGACCAATCACTAAGATTGTGTTGGTCCAGAATTAAGATGTTGGAGGCAGAAAGGGCCGTTGCTGAATACTGGGCAGCGCCTTCGTCTAAAATAATCCTGGGGGAGCCTAGCTGGCTCAGTTGGTTAAGCGACTGCCTTCGGCTCGGGTCATGATCCTGGAGTCCCAGGATCGAGTCCCAAAGGGCTCCCTGCTCAACAGGGAGTCTGCTTCTCCCTCTGACCCTCCCCCATCTCATGTGCTCTCTCTCCCGTTCTCTCTCTCAAGTAAATAAAATCTTTAAAAATAAAATAGAGTAATCCTGGGGTGGGGGGGCTGGCTGGCTCAGTCGGAAGAGCCGAGACTTGATGGGGGGCCTGAGTTTGAGCCCCACCTTAGCTGTCGAGATTAGGGTTTGTTGTTTTTTTTTTTAAGATTTTATGTATTTATTTGACAGATAGCACAAGTAGACAGAGTGGCAGGGAGAGGGAGAAGCAGGCTCCCCGCTGAGCAGGGAGCCGGACGTGGGGCTCGATCCCAAGACCCCAGGATCATGACCTGAGCCGAAGGCAGCCGCTTAACCGACTGAGCCACCCAGGCGTCCCTGTAGAGATTAGTTTTAAAAATAAATATATAAAACATTTTTAAAAATCCTCAGTTCCTGGTGGCGATGTTCTGTTGCTGTGCAACAGTAAAGTTAAATAAATTGGGTGGAGCACTGGGTTTGGGGAAAGACAATTACTCAGTAATTTCTGAGTCACACGGAAGTTGGGAATTTTAAGGAGCTGGTGTTTTCATCCTTATGAATGGCCATTGTAAACGTTGATACTGTCTCTTTACAAATAACTAATAGCTTAGAAGTGCCAGGACCCTGAGGAATTAACTGAGTCCTAAGCAGTCAGATACAGAGAACCTGAAGACAACCCAGTGCAGTGATTAAGGACATAAACCTTGGAGGCAAATTGCCTAGGTTCAAATCCTGACACCATTATTTTATATGCTTTGTAAAGTAGTGTCTCTATGTCTGGGTTTGCTCATCTGTAAAATAGGGATAACAGTATCAACCTCCTGGCGATTGGAGGATTAAATTAGAATTCATGACAGGCAGGGAAAACAGCAAGAGATATTTAGGAAGCACTCAATAGTTGTTATTTTATATATGCAACTATATTCACCATTTGCTAATTGATATAAAGGTATGCGTCATAATTCTTTAATCCTTCCACTTATCTCCCAAAAAAGGCCAGATTTTTAAAAGATGCTGTAATCCATAAAACCCCACACAATTTAAGCCGTAAGTAGCAGAAAACTTGGTGCCTCCATATATAATTAATAATATATATTCCCCTTCTAAATTTTTTAAAAATTATATAAATTAACCTCAAGGAATTTACAAAATGAAGGAGAGAACTCATGATTTTCTGATACAAGTGTTATTCACCTCACCAAGCCACAGGTCTGTCTGTACATTTATTTCTCCCTTTACTCATCCATTGGCATCAGTTACTCACACTGAAAAGAGCAGAATGATTTGTCCTAACACCAGAAGCACAATGCAGACTCTGCATATTCCTTATACCTTGGGGCATAAGGTTGGGTTGTTTTTATGATTCTCTAAATCAGCTGCTCCAAGATCCTTCTATCATGACAGCCCAAGCTTAGAGCTGTATTTTTGCTGGCTGCATAAAGGAAAACAACATCTTGCCTTGCAAATGTTCTGACTTGCTTATTACGTGAACTGCTATATGAAATGGGATTGTTTTGGCCAGATTTTCAAAGAACTTCAGAATAAGTATTCAGAAAAACCTGTATTTTAGAAATGTGCATTTGTTGACCTACATCTCTGACTTCCATGTGTTGTTAGAACTGAATGATCTTCCCACATTTAAGGTTGTATTTTACTTACTCCAGTGACATCCCCAGGTGGAAACATAGCTTTCACTCCAACTTGGTGTAAGGGATCTGGAATACAGCTCCCGCACAGTTTTCATTGTATCTTTAGATAAAGCCTAGCAAACATTTCCATGACTTTAGGTGCCCGAAATCAATTGGCTTGTAAGTACTTTGCTGTTTGTGACACAGGACATTGTATGTTACTTGAAACTTTTCAGGGTGGGAAAAATACTGCCCTAGAGAGCCAGAAGGCAAGGACTCCTTATTCTACCATAGAGAACAATTTGAACAATAGAATTCTATGATAATAGTAATTAATATTAACCTAAGGCAGGCTTTCCCTGTGTGTTTTTAAATTTCTCCAATACCCAAGGCTACTGTTAGCTACTTTGTTATTCATTAGGGAGTGGTAAATGTTTCTGCCCTTAGTCTGTGATTATTGTCAGTGGGATGATGACATAGGCCTAAAAATCTTTATGAGGCTTTTTTATTCTTTTTTAATAGCAAGAAGAAAATAGTCTTTCTCTCTTTCCCCATATAAACACACACACACACATACAGTTAAGCCACAATTTAAAATTTCATTTCACTGGATTTATTTATTTTAAAATTCTTAGCTGTAGCATTATTTTACAAATCTTAACAGTAATCTCAGGGTGACCTAAATTCCATTCCGTTGACTTTTCTCTATTAATACAATTTTTTATATCATGTAGATACACCTAGTATCCATAGATTTCTTTTAACAATTAAAAATATAAATATACATTTTAAAAACCAGGATTAAAATCCAATTGGGTGAGGTAGTGTATAAAATCCACATGATTAAGTTGATTTATAACGTCCATTAGGGCAAGTTAAACAAAATTTAATACAAATTTATAACACTCACAAAAACTCTACTAAATTCTCTTAAGTGGCTTTCAATATTTCTTCTGACATTTGTATATAAGTTGAAAATCTTCAAAAACTCTCCTCTATGTTTCTCTTGCCATGAATTCAATTTTCATAGACCTATCCACGGTAAAGAAGATGTGTTTTAGTGCTGCCATATTATAAATTTCCCTTTGAGTAACTGACAAACTATTTCTATTTCTTTTCTTTATTACCTAAAGATCTCCTATGGAATTCAATAATGTATAATTGATTTGTAGAGACTGTTGAAGGCTTTTTTTTTTTTTATCAAAGTGTGACCTTTGTGGGTAAACTGCTTAATATTCTTTAGCCTAATTACATATTTTATTTTCAACCTCAAGATGAAAGAGCCCTTGACTTAGCTACTAGGCATGCCTGAGAGGTTGCCTTACTGAGTTAGGATGGCTACTTAGAGTGTGAAGACATGGGGAGGGTCAATAGCATTAGTGTGATAAAAACTTGTCCATCATGTTTCAATAAAAGATTGCTGTCTTGTAATAGAAATGTTGTCCACTTCCCTTTTTCACACAGGTCTAGAGCAGTTAAAGGGAATATAATTTCTGTAGGTTCTCACGTAAGTGTGAATTGGGCGAACAATTTCAGTTCATCCTTTAGTGAAGTAGAGGACTGGCCTACCCTGGATATATTTATATTCATTTCTTCCACTCCCTTTAATGTTACTTAATCTCCTTTTTACCAAACTAATGTGAATAGTAGGGAAACAAGGGCCCAAATGCCTAAGTTTCTTTGTACTCTTGCACCATTCCACTCCTTAATACAAATAAACATTAAAAAACAAACAAACAAACAAAAAAAACTTGTCCACCACCGGGCAACTAGAAAATTTACCTGGTAATTAATACTGAGGGTAATATACTGAACAAGAACCTAAAGAGCTCCTTTCACCTGGTGTTCCTGTCCTTTTATTTTATCAGACCTGGCATTTTGTCAAGTCCCTTAGAGACTAGAAGAGCAAGAGCATCTATGATTCATTGCTGTTACTGGGG